ATTTTCAGGAGGAACCAGTCCTTGAGAGGGACATCATGCTGTGAAAGATGGAGAGACAGCAAAAGAGAAGACGACCCTCAATGAGATAGACAGACAGGGACAGTGGCTACCACAACAGACCTCAACAAGACAGAGATCAGGATGGTGGTGCAGGATCGAGCAAGGTTCAGATGCGTTGTTCACAGGGTCACAATGAGTCATAACAACATATACTCAGGGTCTGGTGGAGTAGCCCACAGGGACTTGGTAAGCCAAAGGCAGCATCTCCCTGGTGGTTCAAATCCACCAGCAGCTCAACTGGAGAAAGATGGGCCAGCTCGCCCCGTGTGATTAACAGTCTTGGAAACCAGTGGAGCATCAGTTATGAGGCAGTTCCAAATACACGGCAATGAGTGAGTTTACAGAAACAAGACAGAAATGAACCCCATGTGTCCAGCAATATGGTGGTCCACTGGTTAAGCACTCAGCAGCTAACCAAAGGGTCAGCTTGCTTCTGTAAAGATAACAGCCTTGGAAGCCCTGTGGGGCAGTTCTACTCTGTTCCACGGGGTCCCTATGAGTTAGAGCTAATTCAGTAACATATGATTTGACTTTGTTCATCAACAGATGGCTAAAATACAGCATATCCATACAACTGAATATATATGATAAGAATGAATACATGGTACAACATGAAAATGTGCAGCCAGAGTGCTCATTGGAGGCAAAGATGGTGAACCTTTGTCTCTCATACTTTGGACATGTTACTAGGAGAGGCTATTCTTTGGAAAGAAGGTCAGCAAAGGAAAGAAAAAACTCCAACGAGATGGAGTGACGCAGTGACTGCAGCAATGGGCTCAAGCGTCTCAGAGATGATGAGGATGGCACAGGACAGGGTTCAGGTCTGTTCCCACGGTTGCTATGAATTGTACTTGACTCAATGGCACCAAACAACAACATAAATTAACTGTAAAAGCACTCTACTGAAATAAATCAAGGCACAAAAAGAACAAGTACATGATCACACATGACCCCTCTTACATGGAATGAGCTAATTTCAGAGACAAAAGTTGATTAGCTGTTATCAGGGGTTTGGGTGGCAGCTCAAAATGCAAACTCACTGCCATCAGTTCCTACTCACAGTGACACTCTATCAGGTACCTAAGGCTGTAAATTTTAAGGAACAGAGATCACCTATCTTTCTCTCCTCAGAGCCACTGGTGGATTTGAATCGCCAGAGATGCAGCCTCTGGGTTAGCAGCTCAACATCCTACAGAGCTCCTTGGTGGATGGGTATAACAGCATCTCATTCTTTAAGGACGACTCAGTTTCGCTTACGAGTCAGTCCTGGTACTGTAAATGATTAAGTATTAGGCTGATAATCAGGCCATCAAGAGCTAGAAGCCACCAGCTGACCCAGGGAAGAAAGATAAGGAAGCCCTCAATTGGAATCCACTCAACTATGGTGGGATGTTTTTTGCCGTCTGACTGGAGAAAAAAACTTATGAAAATGGATAACGGTGATAGCTGAATATACATGGTGAATGTAATTAACATCATGGAAGTACTTTAAAATTATTAAAATAGCAGATTTTTGCTGTATTTATTTTGCCATAGCAAATTTTCCTTTTTAAGGTTGAAGCTTACATTTGTGATTAGGCTTATTTTAGTTTGAGACCCAGGCCAAATCGTCCTCCCAAGTCTAAATAGCTAAGAAGTAAAGAGAAAAACACAGCAAGAACTAATGACTTATAACATTAATCTGGGACACAGAGTTTCTATTTCTCTTCCACAAAAGAGGAATAATCAGAGTACTCACATAATTGCTATGAAGAATAAATGAAATGACAACAGGTCAGTAACCCTACATTTAATATGCGTTACCAGTATTACTACATCCTCCTTACAAAGAAGTAATTATTTCTACCTATCAATCCAAGTATTGGTTCATCTCCTCACTCAAATGCTAGAGATGTAATCTGACAATGCAATGAAATTACTAATCTCCCAAAGAAAAAAATTCATGATGTTAATTAAAGTTCTAGTTTTTAAATGATGTTATGGGGGTAGGAGAAATAACAACTGAAGTAGAGAGTGGTGGTGAGGGTTGGGAACTTTAAAACAGTATGGAGGATACTAAAACAGCTCTAACGAAATGCTAAACTGCATTTAGCAAAACACTTTCTGTGGAATCTTTGTTTATTTCCTTTTATTATTAATTTTAATGAAAGTCTACAGAGACTTTGGATTTCTATTCATTCATTGTTGTACTTTTCTCCCTGCCCACCCCTCTCTGTGGAATCTTATGATACTGCACACTATGAGTATTTCCTATGCCCAGCTTCCCCTGCTGGTCATGCTCTTTTTCCACCTGAAGGAATTCTGCTCCCCAGAAGGTTCAGTTCATAAATTACATTCTTTCCCACACTCCAACTAGAACCATTTTCTGTCCACGATCCCCAGGTGCTGAGCAAACAGCGAGAACGCAATCTTCACACAGGATTCCACAAGCTTCTGTCTCTCCTGCAGGATGTTTATGCTCTTTTCAAATTCTATCAAGTCCAGAGCTTAACATTAACCAGGGCATAGCAGGCACAGACAATGTCTGATCCACTGAATTGCAGAATTTTTAGTCTGGGAAGGATCAAGGAGGCCAGCCCGAGTTTTCAGACACAAAAATGGGGGGGGGGGGGGGCGGACTGGAAGAATCTGTTCTTGAAAACAATGTATTCCAATTCTGTAAATAAACTAGTTTTTGGTGTTTTTTTTTTAAATGAGCCTCTTAAAACTGAATGAGTTGCCCAACACAGAGAAATCAGTGGATGAATTCTAGGGTTTCTTTCCTTCAAGGCAGTGTCTGCTTCTCAACACTTTGGGTTGGTAAACTTTCCTTATGTGCAACCCTTCACTGACTGTCTGCTATGCACCCAAATCTGTGTCTGATGAGTTATTTTGGAGCAATGAACCAGACAAAGTGTGGTCTTCCCTGATAAAGTGATTTTGCTTTTTTTCATACCAGCTTTCTACCAACTCCCATATGTAAAAATAAGTAAAATCATCTTACATGGCAATATACTAAATTGCTGGGTGCTGCTGAGTCAATTATAACTCATAACAACCCTTTGTGCAACAGATCTGAACCCTCCCATAAACTGCCTGCATCAACCTCACCATCCCTGACATAGGCCAGCCCATTGCTACAATCACTATTTCTATCTCGAAGGTCTTTCTTTCTCTGACCCATCACCTTTCCAAGCATGATGTCTTTTCCAAGGACTAGACCATCCCAACAACATGCCCAAAATGTGAGTCAAGTTTCACCATCCTTAGCTCTATGGCTGCCCTTCTTCTGAATTTGTTCGTTTGGCAGATCGTGGGATATTCAGTACTATAAAAGTCATGTATGTCAAAAATCCATTTCTGCTTTTTTCCATTACACATTTAAATCGAAGCATATTCCCAGTTTTACGGACCTCGTCTCCACAAAGTGAATGCGATCATTAAAACTGGCACAAGGCCCACCAACCTCAAGACACATTACTTGTATGCTGCACGTGGATTACATATCAGAGCTAACCGAACCCAAGTGCCAACCTGGCTTGGTAGGACTCGGACACAAGGGTTCACATTTTGAGGAAGTTCAAGTTGACCAGTCAATCAAGATGTGCTGTCATCAGGAGAGGAGCCTGTGGAGAAGAACTCCTACTTCCAGCAAGTAAAACATGTGGATTTCACCAGGGTGATGACAAGGTGAGGGTCAGGATGCCCATCAGACAAATGTTAAAAGAGTGAGTCTCCTTTTCGGGCCCCAACATTAATAGAAGGTCCAAGTCCTTCCAGGAATTCCGTATCAGCGGGTCCCTCGAGTTCATTGGCACTGACAGCCCAAGTGGCTGTGAAGCCAAGCCATATCAGGGCCCCTCGGCGACACCTTCAGTGGGTATTTCATGCACAAGGAAGGGCGTGGGGCAGGCCTAGCACAAAGGTGGGAACACAAGAGAGGCGGAAATCTCGGGCGAGTGCGGCGGCCGCATACAGCTCCAGGCTCTCTGCAAGCCCCAGACCCGGACGGACACCAGACGGACACCGGGACAGCAGCTGCTGGATCCATGTGTTTAGGAGTGGTGGCTATTTCAGTCTGGGGTGACCGCAGGAGTTCTAGGCCTCCCAGAACCTGTAGGCCAAGACATCCCCTTGGAGAGGCCGCCCCGTCCCAGAGAAACGGCCTCGGCCTCAGCCAGCCGCCGCCGCCCACCCCGGCCCCGGAACTGTCCGCCTGCGGCCTTCGCCGGCTGGGCCCCTGATCTGCAGGCCAAACCAGGGTGGCCTTTGCCCTGATCGGGTTGTAGGGCCCGAATTCCGCCTGTAGGGCTCCAGGGTGGTGGAAGACAGCAAGGGCTGGGAGAAGGGCCGGCCCGGGGCCCAACGCCCCCTCAGCACTCACCATGGCGAATCTCCCGAGTCTGCAGCAAACAGAACCCACCCCGCGAAGAACCTCCCGCGGTCAGGTGACGCTGCGGTCCCTCCACGCCCCGCCCTCCCTAGCTCCGCCTACGAACCCTGCAGGCGGCTCCTCCATTGGTCCGCTCTTAGAAACCCAGGTCTCCTACGTTCATTGGTCCTCGCCCCTGAATGCTAGACTGATGGACTTTGGCACTAGCCAGTCTCTCTACAGTGAGGGGGCGGGGCTTTGGCAAAACCCCCTAGAGGAAGGCAGTGGGGAAGCCCTCAGTCTCCTTCAATAAAGAGACAGCAGGAGTGAAAAAAAGCAATGTTTGATGAATCTGTCAAGGAAAGAATGGCAAGAGGAGGGTGCCGTCCACGTTTACCCCCAAGCCTCGAGGCGAGACGTCGTGATGCGCACACGCAGAAACAGCCCACGGATTGGTTTGTGGGAAGGTCTCAACTTCGGGTCCTAACTAATCCGGACGCACTGGGGGCGGGGCCTAGCACTCCCTGGCAGGCGCAGAGTCTGAGCGCGGGTTTCTGCACCGCCGGCTACCTCCGCGCTGCTCGCCGCCATGGAGTTCGCCCTTCTCCGGCGTTTCGCCCCGCGCCTGGGAATCACGGAGCCCGACGTGCTGAGGTAAGTATGGTCCTGATCGGCCCTGGGCCTTCAGGATAGGCCTGCGTCCTGCTAAACGCGCTGGGCGGCCGCGGAGCGGGAATGAGAAGCCGGGGTCCCGCGGGACTTAGAACGTACCGCCAGAAAACCTGGTCCCGTCCGGGGGTTTAGGGGAGAGAGCCAGAAAATAACGAGTCCTGGGGGCTGGACGGTGGTGGGGAAAGGAAGGAGAGTGCACTTGTGACCACTCGGCTAATAGAGAGTCTGCGTGCAGCTGGGCGGACGTGGCACCGACCCTGGAGTTGCTGGCTTGGGTGGCGGAGGACTGTGTACAAAATTAAGCCGAGTGATCTGCGTGCGGGGCAGAGCACGGCCTAGTGGCCGCTTTAGATGAAAATGTTGGGAGGAGGTGCCTTTTCCACCGAGATCTAGCCATTGGAGCGACCCTTAGCTGAGACCACATCCTGTGCAAACGGACAAAACGGCCAAGTGTCAGGACAGGGTGCTCGGCAGTCTGCGGAGGGAAAGCAGAGCAGCACTTCTGGAAGGATGCATACACCAAGACCTCCTGGGCTCGGAAGCCATGCCCGACGGTGTGAATCCTGAACCAACCACATCGGGTTCCTCCTGACCTTGTTAGTAATGCAGTTCCCGAGCCAGGCGCAGGGATGCACATGCGCCTCCAAGGCGATGCTCACCAAAGCTTGAGAAGTACTGATTTAGAGGAAACAGGGGTACCCCGTGTTAACCGGCCTGTCTCTATGGTTTGCTCCTATTAGTTCCAGTCATGAAAGGCAGAAAGAAGGGTTTTGGGGGGTGGAGAATTGAAGACCTTCTTGTGGCTGAAAGCAGCTTATCACAGTGGTGTCTGCAGTATTGCTCTTACAGAGCCCCCCCCCCAAGGATATGCGCGCTGTTCCTGGCCCCAGATAAACCTATGTGGTGATTGGGTTCTGAATGGGGCGGTAAATCATTGCTTACAAAAGTGTTGGGCAAATTCCGAACGTGAGTATTGATGGACACTTGCTCTTTGTAACCAGGAAAGCAGAGGAGTACTTACGACTGTCCCATGTGAAGTGTGCTGGCCTGGCTGCACATACCACGGAAACCAGCAATACCGTTATGTGCCTGGACCTCGCAGCTTCCTGCATGAAGTGCCCCTTGGACAGGGTATGTAAGCGCCTCAAAGTGCAGTACAACACTGAAGCTTAACCATGCATTTATCTTCATTTCTTGTTGAGCTAAACTCCCATCATAGCACACACAGAGAGGCCCTTGGTCTCGTAGACATTAAGTAGTGGGCAAATGAAAACAAAGCTAAATGGCAGATGCTTTGTTTCCTTTGTATTTATCACAATGAAAAAGGATGGGGGGGGGAACCTTATGAAACATAGTTTCACATAATGAGTTGGAATTGATCTAATGACAACTATTTACTCCTTGCAGATGATATAGAATGCCAATCTTTGTAGGCTGTTATGTGTTCAGATGCTTTATTTGAGTAATATAATTACATATATGTTGCCTAGTTTGTAGTCCTTGATGATAGTCCTAGTCTTAGCAGCTTTTGCTGAGAGAAAATAAGCCTTTGTCATTGAGTGGAGGGGAAAAAGTTGTGTGGCTTCCCCATTACCATTAAATACTCTGTCCTCATTTAACATTCCTGCTCTTCTCAAATCTGGAACTCAGGAGACTCTGCTCCCTTAACCCACCAGGCACTTTAATGATAAGGCTTCGTAAATGCAACAAGTACAGCGCAGGAAAGGAAGGCCCTCTATGAGGTGGATTGATTCAGTGACTGGGATAATTGGGATGGGAGTGTCAGAGACAGTGGGATTGGCACAGGACAGAGCAGAGTTTAGGGCGGTTGTACATAGGGTCGCTATGAGTCGCAGGCGACTCTACGGCACATAACAACAACAACAACAACTATTTTCTAGAGACCTTTTTGATGTGACCCTCCCTTTCTATTAAATCCTTCATAAAGCTTTCCTGGGTTGCTCCAACAGAGCCTTCCCACAGCTGTTGGGTCTTTTCTCCTCTTCCTCTCCTTTGCCCTCTTGACACACCTCCCTATCCTGCTCCCCTTTTTCTTTCCCAATGATGCCTTTGTTGAAAATCAGATAATCATACCTGTGTCTACTGTGGCTTTTTAGTCTAAGTTTGGCTATAGTCACACAATGTTTTCTTTTTCATTATCTGTTTATGACTGCCTTTTTATGTATGAGCTTAAGAGTATGCTTCGCCTGACCTAATAACTGATTAGGAAGCTCTAGTGGCCCAGTGGTAAGGAATTCCTCTGCCAACCCAAAGCCACACACTTTGAATCCACCAGCTGCTCAGTGAGAAAGGTGAGTAATCAACTGCTGTACAGTTTACTGCATCTGGAAACCTTCTGGAGGGTCAGCTATGAGTTGGGCCCAGCTCGACCGTATACAACAAAAATTACTGATTTTTGGCTAGGTGAAACTAAACCTTAGGTAGGGTGATCTGTCACAGAATTAGTCAATTATGGAAAATTGATGCTACTTAATTAAAAATACAGAGAATGATTTTCATAATTTGTATTTTTTTTTTCTCAAGGATTATTTAATTAAACTTTCTGGTTTGAACAAGAAGTCTTATCAATGTCGTCTTAAATCTTTTGAATGTTTGCTGGGCCTGAAATCAAATGTTGGAATAAGAGATCTAGCTGTACAGTTTAGCTGTACTGAAGCAGTGAACATGGCTTCGAAGATACTGCAAAGGTATGAACATAAAGACTTTAATTAAAAATCTCTCTTGGTAGAAAAATCAGGCTTACCTGTAAAAAGAGTGGGAACAACTGCATTTGACCTCTTGTTAAATTCACGAATGGAAACAGTCTCACTCAGCCACATCGACAATGCAAAACCAGTTCCTTTAAGGTCAGACATGGCTTCTACACTCCCATACTTCTACTAATTCCAGCATCACCTGTACTGATCTACTGCTGGGCCAGAAATCAGTTGCAGTAGCTACAAAGTTAACGTAAAACTTCAAGCATACTTACAGCCTCTAACCTTGCAGCTTTAGGGCATTGCTGTAAAGCATAGACCTGCCAATTAGAGTGTCTCCCCATAAGTCCTTCAGTAAGCTTGGGCAGTGGCCTCTGGCTTTGAGTCCACGGAGCAGCAGTCCCAGGTTGGCTCTATCTCACATTGATCTCTGATTCTTCACTGCTGTTATTTCCAGGCTGACTGGCATTGAGAGCCTAGTCCCCTAAGGAGGAGCCAGATATCCTATGCTTCTCTTTCCTTGCCCTTAGTGTGCTTCCCATCTTCTGCTGCTGAACCTGCTCTATTTAAGCCGGGTGGAATGGGAAAACTGGCCAATCCCATAATTTTTGCCCACCATTTCAAATTCACCTAGCTATGTAATGAAAGTCAAAGTTGGCTGGGAAAGCCGTTTTGAACTATCAACTTTTGACATATGCAGTGTCCTGTTCTGTAACTTTTCAATCTAAAAAGAAAAGTAAAGTGACACAAATAGCTCATTTAATGAAAATGCTTGTGAATCCTGATTTGCATGTCAGTCCCCCTTAAAACTACCGTCTAACAAATAATTCTACAAATACTGCTTTTTTCTTAGCTATGAGTCCAGTCTTCCACAGACACAGCAGGTTGATCTTGACTTATCGAGGCCACTTTTCACCAGTGCTGCATTATTGTCAGCATGCAAGTAAGTAAACCTTTTTAATGTTCAGAAACATTCCCACTTTACAAATGCATGTCCACAAAAATTATTTACTTGAAGTTGATTGCAATTAGGAAATATCTTTCCCAAAAAGTACTGTTAGAAAGAAACCCACTTCTGTCCGATTTCCTACTCATAGTGACCCTATTTGGGGTTTCAAGGCTAAAAACTTTATATTTAACATCCCATCTTTCTCCCTCTGTGCTACTGGTGGATTAGAACTACTGACCTTTTTTAGTTAGCAGCTTGGTATGTAATGTTCACAATAATGGCTCATTAACTACATTCCCAGTTTATCCTTATAATGTAGCTGATAACTTGGAATTAGAAGTGCCCTGATGAAATGATACCCATTTATAACTGGGTCAGGGTCTGCCCTTGATACGTAATAAAATATTCATTATGGTCATTTGTGAGTTTTTCTGATAATATTTTTAAAAAGACGAAAGTATTGGTTGCAGCCACTCTTAATTTATAAGACATTTCCGTAATAAGTTTTTATATATAAATCTTAAGATTGTGAGATATAAATGCATACCCACACACACATATGGAAAAGATAACCTGAAAATATTGTTAATTATTGTTATCTTTGTGTAAAATTATTTTGGTATTATCTTGCTAGAAAAGAAAATATTGTTGACCCTTATGAATAGATTTCTCATTGCCTGGCCACTAATTTTGATATATTTGCCTGTATTAGCTACATACTTAATGTGATTAATTGACACTTGTGGAAAGGTTTTTACAAGATACAATCTTACTATTTTTCTTTTCTCTATTTGTACAGAAATAGAAGTTTACTGTTTTAAAATGTCTGAAGCACCCTGTAGCAACTAGAGCAAATATTTTCATGTCCCTCTTTAGTTGAGCCTGTGTGTATTTTAATTTCAAGGCATCTTTACATGGTTATATGCTTGAAAAAAAGGAATAACTTAAAGGTGAAAAGAAATTAAGTTGATAATCTGGTTGTCCAGAAAAGATAGCTGTATTATCTTAAAACTTTTTATCAATTTTTTTTGGTAGGATTCTAAAGCTAAAGGTAGATAGAAATAAAATGATAGCCATATCTGGTGTTAAAAAAGCCATCTTCGATCGACTATTTAAACAGTTGGAGAAGATTGGGCAGCAGATTGATGGTGAGTATTTCATAACTTAAGCATGTTTCATTCTAAAACCTAGACTTACTGATAAAGTTAAATATTTTTAGGTCTACAGAATGACTGCTTCCTAAATTCTGTGAGAAAATAATTTTTTCTCTTTTCAAACAAAGTAGCTTAGTAAATTTAAAACAAACAGTATTGAAATTTATTCTTGGAACATCAATTCTCCATCACCATGCTATGATTTTAAATGCCACTTCTATACATTGCTTAAATTTTATAACAACATATTTGCTGAGTAAGTAGGGTACCCAATGGCTGTATAAGAGGTAGTGTGTAGCTAGCTTTTGTAATACATTTGTTTCAAACTGTCAATCAAGGAACTCTACCATGGCACCAATACAATTATGTTCCATATTTGTTATGGAAAATTTGCATAATCACGTGATCTTCTTGATGCTGGAAAAAATACTGCCTTTTTAGAGCTCACTTTTATGGCTGCAATTACTTGAAGCAAATTAATTTGTTCATACTTACTTTGAACAAGTTTATTTTTGGTTTTTTTTTTGTTTTTTTTTACTTTGAACAAGTTTAAAGTGTTATGTTGCGTTAACAGCTATGAAAATCATCAAGCCGGATTATGAGGGAACTAGTCAGACTGTTCTACTGAGAACAGTTTTTTATTTTAACCAGAGTAGTGACATTTACATTCATGTATATGTATATCCTTTAATACTGGTTACATGTGTGCAGTTCCGAGGTTAAAACTGTCTTTTTGAGAAATTAGACCTTATAAATGATTAGTATATTTAGCTCAGAACGAATGGAAAGGCCTAAGGACGTGTCAGGCTTGATTTCTGGATTTTAAAAGTTAGCAGTGAAAGTACATTAAAGTCATACTAAAATAGAAGGATTTAGGATTCTTGAATAGTACAAATGGTTAAATATTAAGCTACTAAACAGAAGGTTAGTAGTTTGAAACCTTCCAAAGACTCCTTAGCAGAAAGGGCTGGTGATTTATTTCCAAAAGATCATAGCCATTGACACACATACAGTTCTACTCAAAAATGTATAGGTTGCCCTGAGTCAGAATTAGCTTGGTCATAACAGGTTTAGTTTTGTTGGAAATAAACATGGTGTTGAGGGTTTCTCGCATCTGTTCTTTTGGACAAAATGCTTATCTGTCAAATACAGCTCTAGAGTCGAGCATCCAAATTAAGACAGACTAGGGAGAAGGAAGGATTTGGCCATCCACCTTTGAAACAACATGGCCTCAGAAAACCTTTATAAAATAGAGCACTTAGAATAGACTAGCTGGAGGCAGTGCTTTCTTACTGAGAATCACAAAGGAGGAGAAACAGTTGCAAACCCAGCATGAGATGGATTAATTTAGTAAGTGAAGAACTAAGATTGGGTCTGTCAGAGACGGTAAGATTGGCTTAGGAAAGGGCAGCGTTCAGAGCTGTTGTAAGTAGGGTCACTATGAGTCGCAGGCATCTTGATACCACATAAAAACAAGATATATTAGTTTAGTGCTTAAAGCATTTGAATGCTAAGCATCAAGGTCAAGCATGAGGATCACCTTGTGCTAAGTATAAGGTCAGCAGTTTAAAGACACCAGCCACTCCACAGGAGAAAAATGAAGCAGCCTGCTTTTGTAAAGATTGACAGTCTTGGAAACTGGGACATTTTGTACTCTGTCTTACACAGGCATTATGAGTCAAAAATCAACAATAGTTTGGGGTATATACAGAGGCTAAAAGAAAAGGAATTTGCAAGTGTAAAAAGAAATGGCAAAATAGTTTGTTTTCTGTTACTTTAACAGTACTTGTTTAATCAAGGTATTGAAATGTTTTTGTCATACAAACATGCCTAAATACTAAAATTGAAAATAAAATAGAAATTAACCTTGATGACACAGCCCCACTGCCGCCAACCCCCTTTCAAGGAGAATCTCAAGATTTAGCTACTCCACCACAGAAGAAAAAGAAGACAGTGTTGGAACCCACCCCAAAAGGTAAGGCTTATGACCACTGTGCTAACCTGAGTTTAGGGAGGAATTGCACTGCCCAGGTGCAAGGTATGTGGTTCAGATCCACCACCAGCTCTGTGGGAGAAAATTGGGCAGTCAACTCCCATGCAATTTACTGCCTCTGAAAACCTGCTCGATGGCCAGCTATTGGTCAGTTCCAACTTGACAGCAGTGAGTAAGTGAGCGAGCCTGTGAGTTAGTGCAGTGTGGTTAATGTACAGCGGGCTAGATGCAAGAAGCAGCCTTGTGCTACATGCGTCACAGGGCCAGATTTTAAATAAGTCCTGACAATCATTTGCTAAAACTAGGTCTCCAAGCAATCTGGGTTTTGTTTATTTTTTAAAATTGTGATTTCAGTAAAAGTTTATCAAGCATGTTGGGTTTTCATTCAGCCATTCCATTCTGTCATATTAATTAAAATTCTCAATATCTCATCATCTCTTTATTGTCTGTTAGATTTTTACCTCTCTTTTCCTTCTTCTTTCCCTCCCTCTTCGTGTATGAGTTATTCAAGAATAATTCTGTATTAAGTTTTTCTTTAACTTCTTATAATGCTTTTATACAATGTTCTTTTCTGATTGGCTGTGTTACTCAGCATAATGAATTCTAGATTCATCCATATTTACTGTATTATGAATTATCATTCTTTAGTGTTACCTAGTAAATACTCCATTCTGCAAATGTACCATAACTTCTTTAACCATTTGTCCCTTTGATGGAGATTTGGGTTGTTTCCATCTCTGCTAGTAAATAATGCTGTAATAAACATGGATGGCATATATCAGTTCATGTCCCAAATCTTTAGTTCTTTAGAATATATACCTGAAATAATATTTCCATTTTCAAATGTTTAAAGACACTGAACTTTGCTGCTGTTGTTTGGATGATATTTCATTGTTTTGATTTGCATCTCTAATAGTTAATGATTATGAGCATTTCCTCGTGTGTTAGCCTTCTGAATGTCTTCTTTGGTGAAGTGTCTTCATATTCCTCTGCTCATTTTGCAGTTGGGTTGTATGTCTTGTCTTGTTGAGGTTTGGAATTGTCTATAAATTTTAGAGATGAGGTCTTTGTCAGATAAGTAATTGCCAAATTTTTTTTTCTACTCTGTAGATTCTCTTTTTTAGTCTTGAAGTTTTTTGATACACATAAGGATTTGCTCTTTTTGAAGGCTTCAGTCATCTGGTTTATTCTCTGCTGCTTGTGCATTTTAATCTATATTTGCTCATCAGTTTAAGCCATAGATTAAGACTTCTAAGTTTGGCCCAGTTTTTCTTTGATGATCATTATCATTTTAGCTTTTTTATATAGGTCCTTGAGCTAGTTTTTTATATATATGGTGTGAGGTATGGCTCTTATTTCAAGTCCTACAAATAGATACCCAGTTTTACCAAAAAGATGGGCTTTTCGCCATTTAATGGATTAATGTACCAGCTCTTAGTGGCTTAGTGCAGAGAGAGTTGTACTGCTGACCCAAAGGTGACTCCTCTCGTGCTGTTTGAAATTCACTAGCAGTTCCAAGATGAAAGATGTTACTACTAGTACCGAACTATTTTGATTACTCTGGCTGTAGTAGGTTTTGAGGTAAAGACAGATAAGGCCTCCTGTTGTGGTTTTCTTCTTCAGTTTTTGTTGTTTTGTACCATAGAGTCAGAACCTACCCAAAACTGACCCTCCGGCGTGTTTTCAGAGGCAGTTAATCCCATAGGAGGAGATTGCCCATTCTTCTCTAGCAGAGAATCTGGTGGCCTTGAACCATGTGCCTTCGGGATTGCAATGCAGCTTCTTGCCACTAGGCCACAGAGCTCTCTTTCCTTTCCATATAAAGTTGATATTACTTTTTCCATTTCATTGAAGGCTAGTGATGGCATCTGAATTGGATTGTATTATACCTGTAGATCATCTAAGAAATCATTAACAGAAGTATCATGTAATCAGGAATACATTCTGAAACCACCTGTGTAGGCTCAAATCCTGCCTTATTACTGCTGTACAGTTTTAAGAAACTGACTTTCTATGGCCACAATTTTCTAATCTGTGAGGGGTGGTTAATATTAACATATCGTTGGATTATGGTGACAGTTAAATGAGACAATACTATGTAAAGCTCTTTATTCAGTGTCTTGCAGGCCCAGGATAAGTTCTTGGTAAATATTAACTATTAAGGCCTCTCAGAATGCTTGAGATTTATGGAAAAGAGAAAACATTATATGGTAGCTGCTGTTTCTACCTCTACTTCTGTCATTAACTACGCTTTAAAATAGTTTACTTTTTTATTACTTCATTTGTAAACAATAAGACTTTTTAAATAACTTCTGAAATTTTTACTAGAAATGGAGAAGCCAGAGATTCCACATACACTGCAGAAAGATGAAGATCTGACACAAGATTATGAAGAGTGGAAAAGGAAGATTTTGGAAAATGCTGCCAAAGCCCAAAAGGCTGTCGCACAGTGATGTCCGCATCCAGGTGGGCATGTGCTGCGGAGCAGCGGTACAACTGCCACTTCTAGGAAGATTTGGAGCATTTACAATTTCATCTGAGCTTTTATATGTTTTTATAACGAAGATCCTCAGACTTAATAGCAGAGAAGCCAGCCCTGGCGATGTTCTGGACATCACATGGCCCCTTGGCATCAATCTCAGTACTTGTTTTGTGCAGCCTTGGCTTACCACAGGCCTGTCTCCCACAAAATGAAATTGGCTTTATTTTGTTTTAAGCAAAAGATAGTTTCTTCTTTTAGCTACAATAGGAAATTCAAACTGTAAGAAGTCTTACACATTTTATTTACATTTTTCAAAAATTTCTTGGTTTTATGGAATCCATATATGATGTAGTCTTGAGTTAATAACTTGTATTTATATGTACTTGAATTGTACTTGTCATCCTTTTGGGAAGATCTTTGGTACACCAAAAGCTTTTACAGCTCTCATAAAACAGGCTAGATTGCTGTACACAGAGCTCCACCCCTCACCAGAGTGGAGGGTGACAAATCAGATTTCCTGGTTTCCAAACCCTATTCAGCCACTTACTGTCTGTGAAACCTTGACTAAGTTAATCAACATTATGCCACCTCCCTCCCATACCTGTATCTTGTGCCAAAAACCCAACAAAAACAAAAGTCCTTCTCCTGGGAGGTAGACAGATTTCAGGAAGCCCAGGAAATTGTCATGTCTAATTGAAAACTCAAAGTAACTTCCCCAAATAAAACTGCTCAGCCTAGAAGGATTACAAAGGTTTAGATAGAAGCAAAGAAATGAATTGTTTGCTTTTGAATCCTTACTAATAATTTTACGAGGTGGTTAAATGACAGCATTAAAACTGGTATGTTCTTAATAAAGCAGGAGAGTACCTTTTATTAATTTAATTTTTTTATTTCAAATTAAATTTATTACTATTTATTTAAATAAATGTTTGCCATTTTTTCCTTACTTCTGTGTTTCTCAGAAAACTGTATGTGATTCCATTCTTATCTCCCTTTCAGATATTTTGGTACTTACTAGAACAGTGACTGCTCTAATGGGCTTGAGTTTGTTAGGGACTGAAGATGGCACAGGCTAGAACAGGGTTCAGACCTGTTATTCATAGGGTCACTATGAGTCAACTCAACATCACCGAACAACAACAGACCAGTAACTCATAACCAAGGAAAGAGGGGCAGAGAGAAAAGGGAGAACTTAGGAGAGAGAGTGGAGTTATGCAGAGGTGTGTATAGATTCTAAAAAGCACATTTAAAATTGCCATTGTTCTGATTTATTTAGACATGAATATTTTGAATTTTTTTTTTTTTTCTATAATTACATTTCACTAATTTTCATAAACATTCACAGAGACCCTGGGCCTCCACTCACTCACCGCTGCACCACTCTCTCCACCCTCCTCCCAGTCTGCCCCCGTCCAAATGCCACAGTGCTCGTCAAAGCCAGCCCTGATCAATCTTCCTTGTCAGTGCATCCTCCGCCACTCCCCACCACTCCTCCCTGAGAGAGACCCCACCCCGAGTCACAAGGAAAAGGGGACGGCGCACTCTCCTAGCCACCTCCTGCTGAAAAGGGACGCTGCGGGCCCCAGGGTGAAGATCCTCCCTCACCACTCCAAAGGGCCCCCTTGGCAGCAGGAAACACACAGACCACCATGGAGACCGACCCCGGAATTCAGATGCACTCCCACTGATTGTGCTTGGCTGCACATGCACACATCCCCCAAGATGTATCATGGGGGTGTCGCAACCCAGAAGACACAAACCCGACCAACAAGTCACAAGTACATGAGTCGAAAAACTATGGAAAAGCAAAAGAAAAGATTCCCTCATTGCTCCACAAACACTCCCCCAGGTCCCCTCCACCATGCAGCCCCCGCCCCAGTCCCCCGTGATGACAGAAATACCCAGCCACATCTCTCCCCTAGACGGTTCCCTCCCTCCTCTGCCTCAGCGCAGCACACACCATTGAACCCATCCTACTCATTCCCTCCCCAACCCCAAGGACAGTCCCATTCTACAACAGTGGCATCATGTAATATTTGTCCTTTTGTGACTGGGATATTTCACTCAGCATAATGT